AATACAAAAAAATTCAATAAAGATTTTTATTCAAATATTAAAAATATTCCCCAACACCAAAACAAAACACAAAGTGCTTTTATTTTGATGTTGGGGAATATTTCTATTATTTGTTTAACATATCACCAAAGTTCTTTTTTGAGTAAAAGATTTGTATATGCAATATAAGGATACAATTATAAGACACTGTTTATTTTATACTTGAACTTTAGGCTAATTTTATTTTGTTACATATTTTTTAATAATTAAATTTTGGACTAAATGACTAAATTTTAATATACAAAAATACAAAATTAAAATAATTAAAAATGCAAGTAGATAGTTATCGGACACTTTATAGTTATTGGACAATTAACATTAATACTGTAAAAACAAGAGTTCTATAAATAGTTACCTTAAAGTCAAATCATTAGATGAGGCTATATACAATTATAACTATCTCAGTCGGTAATAATATAGAACTACTTTATTTTGGGTCCAATATAGGACAAAAAAGTTCGCACGTTACTTTGGTGGTAAGATTTTTTTTAAGAGCAGGGCTGTGTTTAAATAACAATAAAAAATATTTTTAAAAAGTGTACAGATCAGTGTGTGGTATAAATGTGTTTCTCATGGTTTAAACATTGTCACTTTAATGCCTTTTAATTTAAATTCTAAAAACAAGCCCTAAAAGGGCCAGTGTCCAATAAAAATGTAAATTTCTATTATTGGACATATGTCCAATATCATACTCTATTTGTAACCCGGACATTTACCAGCCAATTCTTATGTAAAATTGTCCCCTGAATCCAAAAAAAAAACCTCAAAAACAATAAATGTTAAGCAGTTTTTGAGATAAAGTCAATTTCAATTAATTATATTTCAAAAACTGTTTTACTTTTATAACTTTTGACGACATTTTCGGATTCAGCGATTAATATTTCATAGGAAATGACTGCTAAATGCCTAGATACAAATTGCTGTTGACGAGAATTATTACTGGCTGCTTTTTCACTAGGACATTTTTGACTAACTCAGTTTTAAAGAGTAAGTAATATAGTGATTTCTTCGTCACAGGATATCGTGCAGAATAACATTGATTTAAATGGAGAACATAAAAAACTAATGGCAACAAAATTAATAAATTCGGAAAATACTTTTAACATAACACCCGAAAAAATATTAGATATATATGTATAAATCATCCTGTTCCGGCCTAAACATTATAAATGCTTCACAAACTAGAGATACCATACTTATTTGCAACAAACTATTTCAGAAGTCAGAACAAGAAATATATGAGTTATATGATATTTACAAAAACGAAATAAAAAAAATTATCTAAAACAGCAATTTATCTTTAAAAAATATTTAACAATTTATGTTATTTGATGTAAAATTGTTATGTTTATATAAAAATTGTATGTCCAATAACTATGGTCCATTATTACTATATAAAATGCCCAATTACTGTACTTTTTTGCATGTATTTATAAAACTATTATTAAAAATTCAAATATTCTTATTTTTAAGTAATCGTAAATAAACTTTTATATATTTATAGAAAAAAAACCTAAAATCTTTAAAACAAAGGCATAAATAAATTTTAAATAAATAATATTCCAATAAATATGTGGTTTACCCTATATTTTTTATTAAAATTTTTATTTTTTTCTACAATGAATAGGAGTTCAGCACAAAAAGCAGAAAATTGTAATTTTTACAAATTAGTATAAAAATTGGGGTTGGTTTACACTCAAAAAAATTATTGCAGATAAATATTAATCTATAGTATGCTACATACAATGTTGAACGTTTAAATAATCGAAATACATAATTTAATTAAAGTTAGAAATAAAGTTTTTATCATTTCCTAGCAAAAATATAAATTAAATTGTATGCAATTTTATGGAAAAATTATCAGCTTAGAATATCACAAAAAATCTAAAATAATATAACTTAATAACTTTAGTATAATCTTGTGGGGAAAAGTTTTAGAACCTAAATTCTCGATTAATGTAAAAAAACTGTTTTTACCACCTGTGTTGAATTTCCATAGATTATAGAAAGACAATTAAAAAATATTAGATTTATTAATTAATAATAAATTTCATCAAAATACTAGTTACTTTTGGACATCATACCGTACGTTGCACTTAAAGTAGTCTCATATATCAAGGAGGGAAATGCGGATGTTTTCAATTGTTGGCTTGTTTTTTCTGGTGCTGAAAAAGTCGTTATTTATTGCGTGAGGGTCTAATGGGTTTGTAATAACACCTGAAATCAGTGAATGAGAAATTTCCCACTTTAGGTTATGGGAGTACAATCGATCCTAAACACGAGAGCTATGTATACATGAATTAATTTACAAAAATTATTATAGATATGTGTTTCTTTTTGCATTCATCATTTTTAACGTTAAAGTTAATATTTGTTAAATTTAAACACGTGTACTTTGCAGAGCACTATCTATGTATTTTAATTTACAAAACTTACCAAGTTGAATGTATAAATGTTTACTTATTTACGTTGAATTAAACGAATGTTGTTAAATGTGTTTGTATACAATTATAAATGATATTTACTTTAAAATTTAATTCACAAAGGTTTAACATTTAAAAGCCTCTCTATACAAGGCGTTTGGAGTGTGGTAGTGGGAGGCGTGACGTCAGGAGGCCGACTGCAATAGAAAATTAATATATAATCATAAGACAGTTTCATATAAATTATTTAAATATTGCATTATTTTGCTGCTTTTATAACATTATAAATAAATCAAAAATACCAATGTTGCGATCCTAACAGGCAACAGGAAAATTAATGTATTATAGCTATAATGCAAGACAGTTTCATATGAATTATCGATTGTCAGAGCTGGCCTGAGATTTTTTGCCTCTTTGCCAGTTTTGCCAACCCCTTTTTTATTCAGCAGAAAAAAAATTAACTTGTCCCGTCCCCAACTAACAATTATTAAAATTATCTCTACTTTTATAAAAATATTGCTTAGGTTTCTTTTATTTTATGTATAGGCTGATAAAAGAAGAATACGAGGTGTGTTCAGAAAATATCGGGAATTTTCGTTTTTTGAAACAAATATTTATTTATTCGTCTACAATAATGTTGTCGCCTTCAAAATAGTCCCGATTGGATATTATGCACATGTGCCAGCTCTTCTTCCAATACTCGAAACACTTCTAAAACTCGATCTTTGAGATAGCCTTTAGTTCTTTCAGCGATGCGCTTTTAATGTCATCTATGCTTGCAAAACGACGGCCCTTTAAGGTTCTCTTTATTTATGGGAATAGGAAAAAGTCAGACAGAGGCATGTCTGGCGAATATGGAGGCCAAAAATTGTATTCAAAATTTAACAATTTTAGAACAAATTTTGCTGCCACGCGTTTCATACCCAAAACATTAGAAAAAATTTCATGGGATGAGACAATCGATATACCAACATCATCAGAGACTTCTCTGATGGTTTATAAATAACCATTTCTTCCACTTTTTCCATGTTTTTATCGGTTGTTAATGTGCGTTCGTCATCTTCAACGTCTTCACGGCCATCTTGGAAACTCTTGTTTTACTTATAGCAGACTCACTAAATGCCTTTGTTAACATTTCACAGAATTTATTTCATTTTTTAAGCAAAATTGGATACAAATTCTTTGATCCATTTCACGAAAAATCGCCGAGCTCATAAAACACGTCTAACCTTAGCGGCTGCCACAGACAAAGTAAACCATGAAACCAACTAAAGATTTTATCATACTTTGGGGGCATGTATACCAACATAATGAAAATTTTTTTATGACAACCGGACCCTCCGAACCCGCGGAATTTAACAATTCCCGTTATTTTCTGAACACACCTAGTATATTTAACAATTTTAATGCCAAAATACTATATTAAGAAAAATTCAAAGTCGCAAATTCGTTACCGGATTTTATTTTTTTAACTTCAATGGATCAGAAATTGAATTTTCTTAAAAATGATATGTCGCAAGGTATAGGGTGTCATTTAAAATATTTTAGTAAGGGTAGCTGAAGGTTAGAGGGTGCAACATAAAATACATGTTTAATACTGGATTTGTACCTGTTTTTGCTAAAGATGGTAATTACTATAACTGAAAAGTTATTAAGGGTGGCTAGTTTTTAATTGAAAGCCCTGTTAAATTATAATAACAAAATTTATTAGCTAATTTACCTACCTTAATTCGTATTCGTAACCTGCAAATCCAGCCAAAAGTCCACAGATTTTTTTTAAAGTCATTTAAATTGTCATACAATTAAATTGTATACAAAAAAAATAATATGAAATTATTATGGGACCCACTGGCCAAAATAAAAATACATAAACTGAATAGTTGGATAATTCGACACTATAATTTTTGATTTTTTTTAAATAAAAAACTTGAATTCTTTATTTAAACGTTTATTTTAAAATAATGTACATTTGGCATTTCATATAATACATAAACTTTCTAATAATAATAAAACCCTTAAAAAATTTCAAATTAAATGGTACATTGCTTAATAAATATCACGAATGTATATCAAATAAATCTTCATATATAAAATTACAAACATATAGGTACGTTAAAAAATATTTTAACATTGTTTTAATTTTTTTAATTTGGACGTTTTTATAATCTACATGATGTATCAAAAAACCTACAGCTTGATGCGGTAACTTTATAAATGAATAATTTTGCTGATAAATATTTTAAAAATAACAGGTGTTTCTATACATTCTATCTTTAGCTTGCACATGACACGTTGATTGTTACAGTTTTAATTTTAGATTGCTAAAATTTACATCTAGATCTTTTATGTTTACCTACATAATTATATAAATACAATTATATATATTTCAATGAAACATTGGTTATTTATATGTCTATTGGATTGTTTTCAATTGGTCAATTTTTGCTATACAGTTTCTATATATTTTATTTTTTATTATATACATAATTTTATATTATATATATAAACTTACTTTGTCGTATATGGTCAGTGTAATTTTAACCAAATCCAATGTTTTGTTACCCTGTTTATATATCAAATAAAAATACTTTTTGAGGTGTTCTTATTTAAATTTTTAATCTAGTTTTCATACTACTTCTTAGTATACATTTTATAGTAAATATATTTTTTTATTATTTACAAGTATACATACATTTGAAAGTAAATATTTTATTTACATATAGCAATTAAAGTTGGTAACACTGCTTTAGTCAGTGAAAGGATATGTTTAAAACACATTTTTATTTTATAGATATGTAAAAATACACATTAAGACAATAACACTGAGTAAGACAAAAAAAGGCGTCATGGTAAATTTTAAGGTAGCAATGCAACATCCAACAAATTTGAAATACTTGGTTTTGTAGTTTTAAAACAGACATTAGAAATAAATAACGAAGCAGTACTATTTTTGAATTGATGCCTCTTGTTGTGTATCTCAGTGTACTTGGTAATTTTAATACTATTAATTCTACTGATATGAAGCTTTAAAATTGACGTAATCTTATTAAAACGAATAAAATCAAATAAAAAAATTCCTGACTAAAATTTTAAACATTGAGCTTACCTTTCGTCCCTTTAATAAAACCTGGAAAAATACAAATAATTATAAATACCTAAATAAAAATCATAACATATTACTACAACAATAATAACAGAAAACTCGTTATTGCTTTTATTGTTTAGTTTAGTCAAATTATTATTATTATTGAAAGCTTTTAGTATTATTAATGCAACATATATTTATTATTTTGTATATATTTATAAAAATACAATTGCAACATGTCATTTTTTCAATTTGGTTGTTTTTAAACTTAAAAAATATTCAAAAAATATTCAGTCATATTCAATAAAAATTTTTAGAAAATTTCATATAATATGAATAAATATTTCAATAATATCTCAAAAGCACGTTTAAAAACAAAAGAATTAAAAAAAACAGCACAATTTTTTATAATTAATATTTTTTTCGGTTGGATTAAAAAATTAGAAAAAAATTAGAAAAAAGTTTTTAGTGGGGTTGTATGTATACCATATAAAAATTTTAGCCAAATCAAAACAGGTAAAGTTCAAAAGTGGTCAGTTTGGCTTGGAATATACGTCATTAGTAAGTCTTGACATGCCTGTTACCCAATATACTGTACTATTATAGACGTCGTTTGTGTTCTATAATATTCTATAATATAGTTTACAATTCGGAAAAAGTCATTTTTAAATAAAAATTTATAGTAAAAATTGATTTTTTCAACGGTATGATTGTTTTTGTTGACCATCTGTATAATAGGAAACTAATTTTCGACATCATGTGTTTCCAGTCCTTATTTATACTATATTATATAGTATACCTATTATGTAAACTTCAACAAGTATTTTTTTAGATCTATAGCTCTAAAAAGGAATCAGTCAAAAATGACTAATTTAATAGTTATTAGTGACTGCTTTTTTACTTGTACCATGGTTAACCTTGGAATTCCATGGTATCCCAAAATTTAACAACCAATTCTTATGTAAAATTGTCCCCTGAATCAGAAAATACCGTTAAATGGAAAATTGACTATATCATAAAAACTGTACTATTTTTTTAAAGTTTTGACGGTATTTTCGGATTCAGGGGACAATTTTACATAAGAATTGGCTGTTAAATTTTGGGATACCATGGTATTCCATGGTTAACCATGGTACAAGTGAAAAAGCAACCACTCATAACTATTAAATTAGTCATTTTTTAACTAATTCATTTTTAGAGAGTAGGTCGGTTAAATTAGAGAAAAGTTACGTAATTACAAGACTATTTGTAAAGATACACATTTATACAGGGTGTCCCACAATTAGTGCGACAAAATAAAGGTGTATTATCTAAAGACCCCCAGGAATTCCAGAAAATTGTTTAAAAAATTCTTTCTTCATTATTTAATAAGATACAGGGGAGTCATATTTTCTTTATATGGCAACATTGCCTCATAACAAAGTAATTGTTTAATTCCTAATCATCATGACAACAAACAACAATGTTAGAAAATGACAAATTTAAATGTCAAAATTTGTTACTTTAAGTTATAGGTTATTTATTTTACGTCAGACAGTGACTCCCTGTATTTTTTTCTATCCAGTCTGACGTAAAATAAATAACCTATAACTTAAATTTGGCATTTTCTAACATTGTTGTTTGTTGTTATGATGATTAAGAATTAAACTATTACTTTGTTATGTTGCCTTATAAAGAAAATATGACTCCCTGTATCTTATTAAATAATAAAGAAAGAATTTTTTAAATAATTTTCTGGAATTCCTGGGGGTCTTTAGATAATACACCTTCATTTTGTCGCACTAATTGTGGGACACCCTGTATATATTTTCATCCAATTTCTTCGCTACTATATTTTAAGTTACCATCACCATCTTTTGTTTTTAAAATGGCAGCGATAACTTAAATAGTTTGATACATCGTTGGATTCTTTAATTATTTTAATATGGTGGCCAAGGCAAAATCAAGTAGGCAAAAATATTAAAAAATTGAGCGACTATGTAAATTATGGTGTATGTTTAGATGTACCCCAAGGGTCCAACCTGGGTCCACTCCTATTTTTACTATTTATGAATGACTTAGCTGATGACATCGATTGATAATAAATTCACGTTTTCTAATCATCTTGAGAACATTGCTTCCGGGTATATGAAAAGCTTGGGATTTATAATTCACAATACTGGTGGTTTTAGAGATATTAGAACATATCAGTCTCGTTATTACGCATTTGTTGGATCTAAGCTGGAATACTGCTGTATTGTATGGAGTCCGCAATGCAATATTTATAAAAAATAATATCCATATGTTATACTTAAAAAAATTGTTTTCTATCTGTATGTATTTTGTCCCGTAATTGGAATATGCTCTGTTGGGCAAATAAATAAATAAATAAAACTTACGATTTTTAATTTTGACAGGTTTTTAGTTTTTTCAAATTATTTTAGAATCGCACCCTGTATATTATAATATGCTAAATTTCACCTAATTACCCCATAGTTATTATTTGGAATTACACTTTATGCTTAATTAGCATTTGTATAGCAAATTATAGGAGTATTTATTACCTAACTATATATGTATTTGTGGTATAATTTAGATGATTATTGTCTGTAATAACTCTCAAGTGAGACCAATATTCAATAAACTTAATTATGGCCCATGTGTGTTAACAAACTTGGTATTACGACAAATACTTACACATTGTGTAATACACAATGCAATATGCTGAATTGAATAATATAATACTGCAGGAGAGACAGATATATTCGTCGCGGGGAATGTTTATAATTGCGTCATCAAATTCTGAACCAAGCACAGACATTACAATTGTTGTGTTCTTCTTCTTTTTCTTCTTAATTCTGAACACAATTCTATGTTCAGAGGAATGACCTTTTAAAAGCTATTTGGCCAGCACATTATTTTATTAAAATTTTCTTTATTATGATCAAGGGTCTTATTTAAAAGAATCTGAGATTAACTCATCCCTTGCATCATTTATATATTCTTAATTATTTATCAATTTTTATAGAACCATGTCATCTTTTCGCCTCTCCTGGGTCGAGAAGTCACTTAATTATTGTACAATATTAATACAGGTAAATCAAAATCAGGGGTATTAATATAAAATTAATGCGTAGCTTAGACAAGATTCGTTGTTAATTTAATTGTTATTGTGACCCCTTGAAAATGATACGCCACTGATTACATAACCTAACATTTAGACGTATGTCGAGAAATCAGGTTTTGGCATTATACATTGATGACGCAATTATAAACATTCCCCGCGTCGACTATATCTATACCACTTTTAGCAAATTTAAAATTAAATTTGAAAAGGCATATCATTAATTAAATAATAATAAGATTGATGTTACTGTATAAAGTTTTAAATTTAATCTAAATTGCACAGGTCGCCGTTGAATATTTAAAACTTGAAAGTTTTAAAATTCAATTAACCCTACTTATTTCGTTTTTTGTGCGCAGGAATATCGAATTTTCCGACATAGTTCTAGATTACCTGGTTATTAAATAAGTTCGAAAACTAACATAAATTTTGCAACATAATACCAATAAACCCCTGTCATAGATTAATTCGTTAAAAATCTACCCCCAAGCGATGAACTTTACCGTACAGATGCGAAATTTACGACCGAAATTTTAATTTGCTCCAATAAAAAATCCATCGCGTGGGTGGCCATGTAATTATCTTTTTATGTTCACTAGGCCCTTTTTAAATTATTTTTTTACAGATTTATTAAGCTATTTAGAGTTCAGAAAGTGCTTTAAGAAACTTAGAGAAAATTGGCGTGATTACAATTCTGTTAAAATAGCATTTGAAAATATATTTATATACAGAGCCCACGTTAAAAGTCCCCCCTTTTATGTTTTGAACTAAAAAAGGTATCGACATCGGAAGAAAACCATTGTTAAGGATATTAAGTATACTACTTTTTGACGTTAAATTAACACTGAACCAAAAGTGGACATAAATACAATGAACATGTTTATTTCATCAATATTAATTTTGAGTCGATAAACAAGTTCATCAATATAATGAAAGTCACACATTTAAAGTATTAATCAAATTTCATCATATTGATGAACACTGTTAATTGAATTTAAGAATAATTGCATTGACATAATGTTAATGTATTTGTTGCTTTAACGGTTGCCTTCTTTGTTTTAATGAACTTTTAACATTAATTTAATAAATACAATTTCGTTGCCTTAACGAATACATTCATTGTTCCAATAAACAGATTTCATTGATTTGATATAAAAAATCACACTATTAAGGTTTATTCATCTAATTAATAACTTTTTTAAATTATAATAATGTATGCGAGATTTGAATATTAATGAACATTAATACTGTTAATGAATCGTTTTCAAAAAACACCCGCCTTCCACTGTCCGTAAGTTTGAATTCCAATAACTTTGTTAAAAATTATCGGATCTTATTGATTTAAAAACCAAGTAAAAGCCTAACAAGCCCTTTCAGAAAATGTTTGTTTAGTTATTTCAGAATAATTTTTTTTTATTTTGAAACTTGTGAAACACACATTTTCGCATGTCCCATTAGCGTTTTATAAAACTTACATACATGTTTTTTTTTTTAATATTGAATAACCAGAACTTTGTGTTGCTTTATAGCAATCCATAACATCCTTAGTTAATAAAGTAAACAATTTATATATAAATTAATTAATTTTAATCTACTTTTTTTAAATTTGACTTATGTTCCAGACATTTTTTCCGTTGCGTTACGTCCGTCGCGTTACCGATAGAATATTTAAAAAAACATATATATGGCAACTTTTTTGGCACTCACGTGATTAACAAATGATGTTCGGACGTACACATTACCCAGCTGAATTTATTTATTTAATCAGGAAGAAACAGTTGCGGGTAACGCGAATGTAATAATTGTTTGTCCGCTAAGTTACTCAAAAAAAATAATAAAAATAAGGTAAGAAAAAATACTATTTTTCATGTTTATGTTTATTTTGGGGCAGTAAAGCTCATTGAGAGTAATTAATGACTGTAATGTTTTATTATTATTT